ACCCATGAGACCGGAACTACCAACACAGCCACAACTGCTTCTTCAAACATGTCTGCGCCACGCATGTGCTCCAACCCACCATGTGAGACCCATGAAACCGGAACAACAAACACGGCTACCACAGCAACGTCGAACATGGGAGGAGTGCAGCAGGCGTGCTCCAACCCGCCCTGTGAGACCCATGTGACGGGCACCACCAACTCCACCACACAAGCTTCATCTAGCATGAATGCAAACCAGACAGACACGGTGCAGAGCGTGTGCTCTAATCCACCCTGCGAAACCCATGAGACGGGGACCACCAATTCTCCGTCCACAGCCACCTCCAGCATGGGAGGAGACCAGACCAGCACAACAACAGCCCTGGTCCAAAGGGTTTGCTCCAACCCTCCCTGTGAAACACACGAGACAGGGACCACTAACACAGCCACAACTGCCACTTGTAGCATGGAGACAGGTGAAGGCACTGGTATGTAAACATACTGTGTACATTTTACCTGAATAATCTTATTTCTTTTCTTTTTCTTTTATAATTAACAGCAAGTTAGGTTTCCGTACACTGTGTGGTGACTCTCAATCTTTCTTCTTTTTTAAATTACACTTGTCTTGATATTTCTTAAAATAACATCTAGATCTCACATGACTGATGATTGTTTTTCTCTAAGCAGTAAAAGTAGTTTGTTTAGAAATCAGCTATGTTACTATGTCTCATTAGCAACCCAGCAGACAGAAGAAGGAGCAGAAGGTACCAGCAGCACAGAAGAGGCATCCACCACAGCAACAACTGGCACCACCCAGGGCAGGGCTATCACTACTGTCACTCAGTCTACACCAGCCCCTGGACCCTCTGTGCCTGTAAGAATACCACATCATTCCTGTCGAAATAAGATCCTTTTCTAAAAACCATCCAGTATGACTAGGTGATGGTGGTAAAACTAATCCTAGTAGATGTCCACGTTGGGGCTGCATTTCTGAATTTGATATGCTGTACAGACAAAAGTACCAGGCCACCTACACATTACACTTAAAGGATCTGCTTGACCATGGAAACTGAAGTTGTGAAACTCCTGGTGCACAGTACTTGTGCTGACGAGAAAGCCAGAGCAAGTTTATAATCCTGTAGGTATTGAGTCAGCAGAGTGTTGATAGAGTGTTGGCGTCCTATTACATTACTGCGCTGAATATCTATGAGCTCTTTAGAACAAAACATTCAGAAATGTTTGTAAAGGCAGACTGTATTGGTAGGTGCCAGAATTTAAACACCGGTGGCCATAGGACTGAAAACGCCTGACTTCGTAGATTAAGAAGTGTGGCCTAATACTTTTGTCAATATGTGTGTACGAATATGTAAGAAGAATGTCATTTCCAGAGTTTCTTTCTCATTGTGGGGTATGATTTCTTTGTTTCCCTCTAGTCGATCTCATCCATCACAGAGGGAGTAAGCACTGCAGCTAGCTCCACAGAGGAACCCATGCAGACTGATGAGCCAGCATCAGCAGAAGCTGCACCTGTTGAGGAAGGAACCGCAGCAATGGAGACGCAAGCAGAGGTGAATAAAGTATGAAGGCAAAAAAGTCTGTTTGGCCTTTGATTTTGAAATTCTTTGCAGTCATGCATTTTCCATGTTTTTTTGATGGGACTGCTTTAATGTGTTCCCCAGGGAGAAGCAGCAGCAGCGACAGCCTTGAACCTTCCTTCAGAGCTGATGTCTGAGGGCCAGGGAGCCACACTAATGGTGACGGGGCTGTCGGACGAGGAACTGGCTGTCACTGCAGCAGCAGAGGCGGCTGCACAAGCAGCAGCCACAGAGGAAGCCCAGGCCCTCGCTATCCAGGCGGTCCTCCAGGCAGCTCAGCAAGCCGTAATGAGTGAGTAGAATCAAAGCTTTTTGTTCACAGACTTTCGAATTTTGAACCATAGCATAGCCTAAGTTCAAGGGCTGGCTCTAGTTAACAGGACACTTGTCAGTAAAACTATTCCTCTAGATGTGAAACTCCTGAATTCTCTGTGATCTTGCTATTCATAAAAAAATTTATAACTTACAGATGAAGGCGATGCTGCTGGAGAGAACCAGCAACCCACCAACATCCCCATCATGCTGACCCAGCAAGATCTTGCAGCACTGGTCCAACAGCAGCAACAATTGCAGGAGGCTCAGGCCGCAGCTCAGCAGGCCACGGTGGACACAAGCTTGCCCACCGAGGGTCTTGCTCCTGCCGACAGCCTCAATGATCCATCTGTTGAGAGCAATGGGCACAACGAAATGGCCGCTGCAGTCACAAGTGCTGTGGCTTCTCTCCTGCCACGCACCACAGCTGAGAGTATGTTTGTGTTGTGTTTGGTTTTTTTATAGTTACTTTGAATGTTACTGTTTGTTACAGCAGACTGATTATTTTTGTATTGCTCTTGACATTGCACAGCGCTTGCGCCATCAAGTACGTTTGCACCCTCTGTATCTGTGGCAAGTCCAGCTAAACTTCAAGCAGCAGCCACTCTAGCAGAGGTCGCCAATGGCATTGAGGGAGAGGTGAGTCATTTTGGTGCTGCTGCACTTCTGATTATGTCAGTTGAGGTGAAGAGAGGAAAGGAGGAATTTGCTGACCGTTTTTGTTCCCATGCAGAAGCAAGCCCCTCAGCCAGCTCCAGTGAAGCCTGTCGTGAAAAAGGAGAACCAGTGGTTTGATGTTGGGATTGTTAAAGTGACAAATATGGTTGTCACTCACTACTATGTGCCAGGAGATGATTCTCAAGGAGATGTAAGTTGTCTCAGGGAGCCTTTTCTTGTTCAGAATGATATTGATGTGCGTTACAAGAATCCATCTTTATCTAACTTGTATTTATGTGTTTGGTAGGATGACTCTGGCATTATACCAGACTACAGCCAGATGAAGAAAATGGAGCTGCAGCCTGGAACAGCTTACAAGTTCCGTGTTGCTGGAATCAACGCCTGCGGTCGTGGAGCTTTCTCTGAGATTTCAGCTTTCAAGACTTGCCTACCAGGCTTCCCGGGGGCACCTTGTGCCATCAAAATCAGCAAGGTAAACAAACCCTGTTGCATTATAGATTTTACTCACAGGTGTGCCATACGTGATCACATGAGCCATGGTCTTGGCACCAAGTAGCATCTTTTCACTGTATCCCCCCCCAGAGCCCAGATGGTGCCCACCTAACCTGGGAGCCACCCTCGGTGACGTCAGGAAAGATCATTGAGTACTCTGTGTACCTGGCCATCCAGAGCAACCAAACAGCTGAAGCCAAGGCTTCCACCCCAGCCCAGCTAGCCTTCATGCGTGTGTATTGTGGACCCAACCCATCTTGCTTGGTTCAGTCGTCCAGCCTCTCTAACGCACACATCGACTACACCACCAAGCCAGCGATCATCTTCCGCATTGCCGCCCGTAACGAGAAGGGCTATGGTCCTGCCACACAAGTTCGATGGCTGCAAGGTGAGTTCACAAATAAGTTCTTTAAAATATTAAAAATACTTAATTACTGAGGCTGCTGTTGATGGATTGAATCTCTCCACTTTAATGCCCTGTAGAATCTGGCAAAGATGCCTCCTCTGCAAAACCGGCCCCCAAAAGACCAGGCACCTCTCCTGATACGTAAGTACAGTATTCATGTTTCATATCGTGCACACAGGAACATTTCATCGATGAATAAAACATCCAGCACTTATTCTGGTTTTGTGTGTTCTCCTGCAGTAAGTCTACTGGTCCAAAGAAAGCAAGGACGGACCAGTGAGGTGGCCTGGAGATCCCTCCCAGTCTTTTCTTTTGGTCTTTTTTTTTTTTTACCCCACTCGCTGTCTTTTTATCAGGAAGACTGACCTTCACCCTTTCTCCTCTTCATCCTCATCCTAACCTCATCCTCCATCCACTTCCCCAAATGTCTCAGACAGAGACGGCAATGGAGGCAGAACAACCATATGAAGCCGAGACGAAAGTTGATCTGAGAGATGTTTCTGTAGATAAAACCCTCCTTCCTCCTCGTTCTGTTGGTCGTACTATTTTTAGAGCAACACAAACCTAGAAGCACATTATCTTTTTCAGTCACATCCCCTTCCATCCTTTTAACACCTATTTTTGACTTATTTCAATAGTTGGAACAGTATAGAGAAGCATTTACATCTTTCACAAACTGGGAGCCAGCCTGAGCGCAATGTTACCCTTTTTCTTTTTCCTGTGTTTTTGGGGGATTCTGGGGGGGATGTAGAGAGAGACTACATGGAATGATGTACAGTGTTGAAAAAGGCTGTGGAAGCATTAGTATAGATGAGAGGAAAAAAAATCGGTATGGAATCAAATAAAGCACTTGTCCTCTGTGAAGGAGGACTTTTTTTTTTTTTATTATTATTATTTTGCTCAAAACTAATTTGCTTCATTGAGAACCAAGTCTGTACAGTCATCGTACTGGACTCCAGTCTCCTGGTAATGTCATCACTGTGCGCTTTTTACCCCAAGATGAGGACTGGTGGCCAACATGTTGGAGGAATGGCAAAAGGAAGAGATTTGTAGAGAACGAATGACTTTGCTAGGACTGAGACTTGCAGCACACATGGAAAAAAAAATCTTCCCAAAAAATTGGCAAGCAATGACGCAGAAGATCTTTTGTGTAGTTTATTTTTGTATTTTTTAAGCTTTTTTCCTTCTGTGTGTATGTGTATGTTGTGTGCATTTTTAAGAGAAAAAAAAAATACATCAGTTTTTTTTAACTGTTGTTCATCCCAATAATTTGTGTTCATGGGAAGATGTTGTGGCTAATGTTGAGGTTGCCACTCTATTTTAAAAAAAAAAAATCTTCAGTTGGTTGTATGTTCTTGTTAACAGATGGCAATGAAAGTGAGAAAGACTTTTTGTATTTGTTCCAAGTAGAAACCGCAGAGGTTATAGGACTGAAGGGAACTTTTGATGTGGACCCAGGGAGAGGAGTTTTTACTTTGTTTACTACTCGATACTTGTGTTGCTTCATTTGCCAAACATGGAAACACAAGGGGGAGGAGAGGCTTAGAAAAGACCAACATCAGATCTTTTCCATCCTTTCCCCTCCCCTCCATGATATCCCGATCAGTTGTCCTATGCTTTTTACGCTTATGAATGTGCTGTCCTCACGTCTAAGTTTTAGAATGGCAAATTATCAGTAGAATTATTTTCCCTTCCCCTATTTGATGTATGTAAATCCATTTAATAAATCTTTTGTTCCTTTCCACGGCTCTGTATTCCAGACTACAGATGGTGTGCGAGCTAACTGTGACATGTAAAACCCATATGTCTTTTGAACGGCGATGTCTTGGGAAGAAAGCTTACATAGCTGGAGTGTACTCACTTGTAAATTAGTTCATTCATAGAGCAAGAATGGAAAAAAAAAAAACCAGACAAAACAAAAAAAGGAAACATCTTGGCCTTTTATATAATTACCTGTAACAAACTGTTTTTACATGTTGGTCATCTCTTGATTGCCTTTTGTGTCTTTGCTTATAAAAGAAACGTATATATATATATATATATAAATATATATAGTCTCCCTAATTTGCTTCTGTCAAGCTGATTCACTGTAGGAGTCCGAATCACTGCTAGGTTCATTACAATACAAAACTTGTACAGGGAGGAGGTTTCTGACTGGACATGAGTGTATATCTACTTTGTAAGAGTGGATTCAGTTGTGATGGTAACGACGGCCACGAAGATGAGAGCCCGGGTTTGCCGCTTTTTCTCTGGCCCGTACCTCGGGTTCTGTTTGTGATTTCTCCCGATTACTTTCTAGAAATGAAAACTTTCTCTTCATATGCATTCATAATTTTGTGCGTGTCGGTGTGTCTGTTGAACAAAACTAGACATGCATGCAAAAAAGCAGTGTATTTTAGTAGTGATGCCTTAAGTTAGACCATAAGCTGAAGGTTCTCAGAAAAAAAAGAAAAAAAGAAGAAAAAACATTTAATGAGTTTGTTCCTCTCTCCATGTGGTATACAATTGTGTCCTTTCCTTCCACAGTACCTTTGCTGGGTCACTATTTTTGCACCCTCGTTAGATAGGTCCTCATCAGCAGTGCCGAGGTCTCTGAACTTTCCCCTTCCACACTGGGACGAGTGCGCCTCTCAGCACTCACAGGTGTTGCGAGTTTCTCTCGGCTGTTTGCAGGTTATCTGGAAATGTCCTGTATTTTCCAATGTGTGTTTTTTGTACTGTAGGGAGTAATGTATCTTTTATCATCAAAAAATAAACATGTTAAACATAAAAAAAAAAAATAGGCTTTTGTGCGTGTGTGTTTATTAAAAGTAAACACAAGACAAGTTGAGTCACCTGCTGTAAGCCACGCTGAGCCGCTCTCAAAAACGGCTTCTCTACATCCAGATCTTCTTTGGCACTTCCTTCAAAGTATTCAGCTCTAATTTCCTCGCACCACTGCCGGGACAGCTTGTCAGACACCTGAGAGGAAACAAAATGTTACGCACATGATGGATCAGAGTAATGTGTGGAATCAAACACACAAATCTAAAGGATGGGCTTCTTGGCAAACTGAGTTTCACGAGCAGCGGGCTTGGAAAGCCTGTGGTGACCAGAACACGTCAAACTAAACAATGGTCACTTTTGTCATGCTGAGAGCCATCCTGAGATGTTGACATCTGATTTGTAAGAGTTAATAAACATGGATTATGCAGATTAAAGGCTTAGCATTAAGAATATAAAGGACAAACACAGCCCTGATTTCTTTATATTTGCTCCTAGTGAGCCAGTGATCTTGACCAATAGTTCTTCAGGCTTTCTGAAGGTCTTTCAAAGTTTTTCTTTCTACACTGACTGCATTTCCCTCTGTTCAATCCAGTCATAGACACTAATCTACAAATCATTCAAGCATTAAATAAATCCACCTAACTCAACGCATGAAGTCTTCACATAACCGAAAACATAGCAAACCCATTTCAAATGATATTGTTAGGTGCTCCGTTACTAGCAGCCTGTCATTAAAAACATTTGTTCACATTTCTTGACCAGAATCTACTAAAAATCCCAAAGACAACACTTTGACAGGCATAAAATATTTTTGCAAAGGGATTTCCATTCGCATCTCTATAAAGTGTGCAGTGACTACTATACGTAATGTAGTAGTCACTGTTAACTGTTATTCTGTCAGACTTCAGCTTGTGTTTTTGTATTTTATTTTAATTCAAATGTCCCAACTCTGCCTAACCAAATAAAATAAGCACAAAGGAAAGCTAAATATCGTTTAGACAGTTTCTCTTTCTATCCCAATAACACTTAAATGGGTACACTGTTATTTCAGCTGCTGGCTTCTTCGTCAATCATTTTTAGGTCTGAGTCGGGATGTGGCTATAGATAGTCACATCTGATTTTGAGCTGCCACTTCCTTGTGAGAGTCACATGCAGTGTGTCACTTTGCATCAGCTTTCTTCATTCTGCAAAACTGAATAAGAATCAAAATAATATCAACTGACAATTTTCTTCCACCGACTTCAAGTAGTTTTCAGGCTTTCTTGTAGATTCATTGCATTTTCTCTTTGTAGTAGTTTCCATCCAATTCCAGTAAAATCTGCACTGATTGTGATTTACAGTTTTCCTCCTTGGGTAGGCAGTAGAACAGTGAGGTTAACCTGCACTTGACCCATGCTTTCTTCACGTATCTTTCCTGCAGTGTTGACTTTTGAATACCAGAGCCAATCAAAATGTGAGACTGAGGGACAGGAGATAAAAAAATGTTGTGCAGCCTCCACATAAAGTAGGACACCTGGTTACCCTGGACGCAGCTTACTTTACTGTGCGCTCACACCAAAAGTAGAACAGAAGAATACAAAATGTTAATAGAGACTTCACTTTTGATCTAACACTCACTGTGACTTGCATTTCCTTTGCAAGAATGTAATTTATAAGTGTATTTCAGAAAGAAAAGAGAAATCTCTTGGTGTGAACAACATGAAACCATGGCTCCATTCTACCAACAGTTCAGGCTGATGGTCGTGGTGTTAGTGGTGTAATGGTGAGAGGACACATTTTCTTAGCACACTGGGCATCTTAGTACCAACTGAGAAAGGTTTAAATACCGCAGCCTACCCGAGAACTGTTGCTGACCACGTCTATACCTTAATGACCGTCTTCAGATGGCTGCTTCCAGCAGGATAACGCCACAGAGCTCAAAAATATCAAAGTGGCTTCTTGAGCTTAACAATGAGTTTGCTTTACTCAAGTGGTCTCCACAGTCACCAGACTGGAATCCTACAGAGCACCTCGGGGATGTGGTCAAACGGGAGATTCACATCATGGATCTGGAGAAGCTGTGTGAGGCTGTGGATCAAAATCTCAGAGGAATCTTTTCCCACCACCTGGGGAGTCTACACCATAAAGAATTAAGGCAGTTCTAAAGGCAAAACTAAGCTAAGGTGTACATTTAAAAGTGCCCAGTGACTGCATACACACAGAATGGCAAAATTGAAGCAATTTGATAACAAACTCGATAACAAGGTAGCTCAATGTAGACTAAAGGTCCTAAACCTAAGTGATCACACAGGTTCCCACTACAGCACCAGGCCGGAAAGCAGGTAAGACAAAAATGATGTTATAGTTCAGTCGTGGTTCCAACAAATCTGCATTTAATAAAACTGTACTGAGCCACGTGTGTGGTAAACCTGGAGATGCCTCACTGAGACCGACTGAAAGAAGAGGACTTTGACTAACCTCTCGGTCGCTCAGATCCGTTTTGTTGCCCAGTACAATAAAAGGGAAATCAGAAGGATCCTTGGGTTCCCCTTGGATCAAAAACTCCTTCCTCCACCCATCCAGAGCAGAGAAGCTGGCCTTGGATGTGACATCAAACACCAGCATGCAGCAGTGAGCTCCCCTGTACAGAGGTGTACCCAGAGACTGGAACCTCTCTGTGCCTGCTGTGTCCCAGATCTGACATACACACAGTGGGAAACATGGGATTAATCATCCTATATGACATGAGTGTCTTGTTCCTGGGTGTGCGGGGGCTTGTTTCACTGCCAAATGCACAGGTGAATTACCTGCAGCGTGACTGTGTCCCCATCTATGCTGATTGTTTTAGAGAGGAAGTCGGTCCCCACAGTGGCCCGGTACATGTTGGTGAAGCGGTGATTCACGTATCTGTTCATGACGGAGGATTTTCCCACCCTAAGTAAACACTCACATGTTTAGTGGAACTCGACAAAATGAAGACCTCTCGCTCTTTTACCGGAGACAGGCGCATTATTCTTCTTGCATCGCACTGCGCCGTTAAATACAAGCCCACACTTTCACACTTTTGAGAATTTGGAATTATGTCTTAAACTATGAACAGAAGCCGGAGTAAATGAAAGTGAAACAAGTATCGGTGGAACTGCGGAATTAATAAGAACCTTTAAATGCCCCTTTAACTCACCCAGAGTTTCCTATGAGGATTATTTTCAGTGTAATAGGACCCTTTTTGTCACTCATATCCATGTCTGATTGTTTGGCCCAGCCGGTATGAACCCACGAGAGCTCACGCTGCCGATGCCTTCACGGGTCCCTAGAAATATGCGCCTTCAATGACTGGACGTGTCACACGCCTATAGCCAGATTTAGAAATTAAGATAAAATAACTAAAATACTAATATTATTATTATTGTTTTAAAGTTTTCAAGTGATTTCCTCCGTGTGTTAAATATATTCTTTCTTTTTTTCTTTTCTTTTGTTCTTACCACACTGCTGGCAAGTTGCAACTAAATGTCCAAAATTCCAATTAAGTGGCTGTGCTTTGAAGGCACCGCATCATGACAGGTGATTGGCACACAGCCGCGTTCTCCTCATTCCTGTATGAAAGGTCCACAGACTCAGCAACAGGGCTCTACTCCAGGAACAACTCTGAGTTTGTTAACCCTGAGCTGAGGAAACTCCGGATCTTCTTGTTCCAGAAAAACAGTCAACTTCAACTCTGAGTCAGTAACTGGGGTCAGATAACCTGCTCGCTGGCAGGTTTTAATTAGCGAACTGAGTTTCTCTCTGACTCCTCCCCTCTTGCTGCACCTGAATCACCTGGCTGACACCTCGAATCATTTCCTCATTTATAAAATCGCAGTCATTGTGTAGGGGAGTGAACTAATCTGCAGAAGTTGACGTTTTTACAAGAACTGAAATCCCAGTTAGACGCTAATTTGTTCTATTTTTGAAAAAACAAACAAAAAAACCCTTCCTTTATTCCCCACTAGAGGGCAGTATAGACCTCAGGTGGTTTATTTTTCTTCTCGGACAGATATGCTTAGAGCCATGAGGTAGGGTTGCTTTGAATAATTATTAAATGACCAGTTTAGTGTTTTTAACTAATTGCGAGTTTAAAGTTATTAATGAAAGTTAAAATATCATCAATATTTTAATTAAATGTAAAAAAAAAAGGCTAAAAGAAGAAGGAGACATATCAGAAAGGCTAAAATGCTGACATTTACTCACACTTTGTACTTTGATGTTTCAGAGTTTCCTTTTATTGGAGTAATCAAATTCTGCCATCTTTTTTTACGTTTCACTTTTGAGTGTTCAGGTTAGTGTAAGAAAAAAACCTTACAGTAACCTGAGGACAGGTTCATATATATCTATCTATATATACATCAATCATACAATCATCATAAGAATATGTTGAATTCACTGCCAAAAGCCAACGGAAAATCTCATGATTCATGAGGTTAATGAGGCGAAATAATTACCATAACTCAGTATACAGTTAGTGTCATTGTTGGGTCTTACAGAATGAAAATTAACACTTTAAAAATAATGGTTCTTGAAATAAAATGGCCAAGAATGTGGGAATTTCGTCATCTAAACAGCATCATTAAACGATTCAGTAAATCTCTGCGTAAAGAAGAACAAAAAACAATACTGATCTTAAACATGATGCTGAAGTGGAAATCCCATCTTAGTATTATTCAGAAAGTCACAGTCAGTAAACTTTTTTTGCTGCATCCACAAATGTGAGGTGAAATTCCACCATACAGAGACATAGAGGCATACATGAACATGATCCAGAAACTCTGAGCTCTTCTCTGGACTGACCTCATATAAGATGGACTGAGGCAAAGTGTAAACTCTTTGGTCTCTCTTTGCTGATATTGTGTTTGAAAATCATGGACTTTGTGTCCTTGCTGTTGGAGAGTAGAGGAATCATTTGGCTTGTTATCAGAGCACGGTTAAAGGCAGTACCCGTGATAGTATGGGGCACATCAGCGCACACTGGATGTATAAACTGCCTCTGTGAAGGCCTTGATTGTTTTCAGTGAGGCCATGCAATCAGTCACAATCCCTCATCTACCCATTGAAAACATCTGGTGCACTATGAAGCAAAAATATGACAGAAGGAGTCAAGCAGCTGAAACCCTCGAAATCCTTTATCAGGCACGAATGAGCAACATTTGCTTTATTTCACTTGTCTCCTCAGCTCTTCCACCTGCTGCCTTTAGGGGTCACCATAGCAGATCATCTGCTTCCACCTCACCCTATCCCCAGCAACCTGCCTGTCGGCTTGATCTGCTACATACTTTTCACATGCCCAGACCATTTTGAGCTTTCCTTTGAACTCTATCTCTAGCTGAGCCGTCCTGATGTACTCATTTCTAATCCCAATCTTCCCGGTCATTTTTAGAACTCAATACAATTGATCAGTTTCAACATCTAACATGTTGTGTTTTCAAACCAATACTATCACACTTTTTTTTACTTGATGCCTGCCTTTAGAAATGAGATTCTAGATTAATGACAGATGAGGTAGAGTTCAATTTTTCTTTGTCTAGTATCAAAGTTACTTATTTATCCTAATGTATGAGCTAAATTGGAAGCTGGTTATCAAGAGGTTAACATAAAAGCATATATAAAATATAAACAATAATAAGTAGGAAGTAGTACTTACTACTGAAACACACGGACACAGAAAATATAAACAATGCAGAATTTATATTTGTGATCATAAGAGGGGTAAAAAAAAAAATTGTGCAATCGTCAAATAAAAACAGAATATAAAACCTATAAGAAAAGAAAAACTCAACTACTTGACACAATGCTGAGATTCCTTCATATCTATGTCCTGTAGTGACTGTCAGAGGTGCAGCAGAACACTGAGATTGCAAAAAAACAGCAACAGAAAAACTAGCGTATCTCTGTGAGTGGCACTCGTGAGTGCCCGCCTAACTTTATTAGACAATGGATGGAGACACACTCATAACGCTGTGCTGCTGCACAAAGTCCACGCTTGTTTGGGTGCCAAGAAAGCGCCTAAACATTTATTTCAATCACAGTGAAAGTAATGGAGATGTGTACAACCATGGAGTGAAGACTTTTTGAAAAAGTGAGGACCTTCTGGATGTGACCCCGGTCTGCTCCTCCTTTCTTTCACACCTTTTAGAAAGAAGAAAGAAACAGAAGGTGTGTGAGTGTCAAGATTCAGTTTTATGGGTGTTGGTCAGAAACAGCTTTAGGCTATTCACTTAGTTAAGTCTGTAGTGAGGACCTAGAGAAACCATCATGTCAATAAATGTCCTCAGAAACAGACAGTATGAACATTTGTGTGTGTGTGTGTGTGTGTGTGTGTGTGTGTGTGTGTGTG